ATGAGTTATATAATAATATATCATGTTACATAATGATATATGATGAGTTATATAATGATATATCATGTTATATAATAATATATCATGGGTTATATAATGATATATGAGTTATATAATAATATATCATGTTACATAATGATATATATGATGGGTTATATAATAATATGTCATGGGTTATATAATAATATATCATGGGTTATATAACAATATATCATGGGTTATATAATGATATATCATGGGTTATATAATGATATATTATGGGTTATATAATAATATATCACAGGTTACCTGATAATATAATGAATGGGTTGTTATTTGTAATTTATGCATATATATCATTACAATTATAGCATTATTAATTGACAATAATTATAAACGTAATTATTAATAATTAATATTATTACTGTTATTATTGTTATTTTTATTAATATTTTTATATTATCATCATCAATTATCGTGCTACAGCTACTTGTTATGCTCAGTTAAAATGGATAAGGTTATGCTGTTACAAGAAAGAACTGTATCCTCAGTTACGAACGGCAATGTCATCCTCGAACAGAAATAAGACGAATAATGCATTAACTAGGCACAGGTGGCGCTGCTAGTTCGGTGGTTACCGGAATACCGGTTCGCATCCCCTGCGACGGAGAGACTCAATGCTCAAAGCTTGAAATCAGCTCACTTTGCATATTGCCAGTGTGCGCGTACATCGCCAGCACTACATGCATAATGCATTGACGCTCGGTAATTTTATCACCCGTTACTCGAACGACGCTTGCGAATGTAGAACGATAGCGCGTCGCACCCAAGGACGGTATATTAACACAACACTGACAAGACAAGTACGTGACAAGTTGGTGACAATTGACGCCGACTTGTAAGATGTAAAATTATGCGGAGCGATGGAGCGAGCTGCAACGATAGAGCTACTATAGCAACGTAACAGCAGCAATTTACAACTCGCTGACAGAACTATTCTCGTTGATGCCTAGATTCCTAGTATAGATGACGACCAATGCGTTTTCGTACGATAGCCCGAGTATTTCCATCTATTTGTATATATATATACATTATATATACATGTATCACATTGTATATGTGAGAACAATGAACATTAATGCATGCTACAATACGTTCCTCGATCGTAACATGTTTACGAGACGGCAGATGCGGTACGTTTATGCATAATTAAAGTCGGCAATACCCCCACGGAAGCTCAATAAAACCTCTGTTGCACGCACGCACGCACGCACGCACGCACGCACGCACGCACGGACGCACGCACACACACACACACACACACACACACACACACACACACACACACATATATATATATATATATTAATAATCGATTATATAACAATTGATCATTAATAATAATCGTCGCAACTTTTCGGCCCGTGGACTAAACAGGGTGGGTGTCCATCCAGACCATGCGCTATTCCAGGTAAACATATACGTTACAGTGGCGGAATTCGGGGCGGGGCGGAGTGGAATTGGGTGGCTAGCCACCCCCTCTGTCTGGCACTAATTAATATTTTTTACACATAATATACCAATTTAATTATTGCCAAGTATAATAGTCGCGCGGCTGTACAAAACGGCACCTGATGCATGGGTTAAATTATGTAATTGAGTGCAAGTTATAACCCGTTTGCAGCTTTTTTCACAATTCCAAGAAAGAGTTTTGGCTGTCGCCCTCATCCCAGCGGTGGTCACCCCTGCCCCCACCCCCCGTACATCAACCAATGCCGCGCTGCAATCGCAAGAATTGTTCTACTAAAAAGATAATTGTCGTAGTCAGAATGAATGCTGTACATGTAATCAAAAGTGCCTCAAACACCATCTCCTGCTATCTACATTTTCAAAATTTGCTGGGGGAGGGCGCCCATACCCCCCGCATGTTTTGCACCCCCCTCCTTGAAGTCCTGGATCCGCCACTGGTTACAAAGAACAATAAACTAGAGAAAAAATGCGACGAGCAGCCATACGTCTAGACGACTAAGTAGGAATTTTACTAGTAGGAATTTTACTCGAGGGAAACTGACATGTAGTAAAGTGAATTGAAAGTAGACAATGGGCGTTACCATGCACTTCAAAATCGGCAATGACTATAGTTACGGAAAGATAGTAATGCATGCGCTGATAGGAGTTCCGTGTCCAGTGTAGCTAGTCCACCGCGTTCGTGCGTGAAATTATTTGTATCTAATAACATGCCGCAAACGCAAACGCACGGGGGTGCGGCTTTTCAGAAACAATAATACTATTAATTTTGCTAAACACAACTGCTTGGACTTTGGAGATTTCCTTCTTCATCTCTACAACAAATCCACTTTGCAACTGGTAACGTCACATCTTCGTTACAGTAGCTGCTTACATTCTCCAGCGCTTTACCGATATCTAAAAAATGTAACATACTGTATAAGCCGTATTTTTCGCGTACTGATATTTTCGCGAATTCAGACTTGACGGACAATTTCGCGGTCGGTGAATTATGAAATACACACTTTTTTTTATAAGAATTCTTTTTATAAGAATCATCGAGGCTTGATTTCCCAAATTTTAAGCATTTTTTAAGAATAATGCTGAGGCTCGATCATCAGACACACATTGTCACTCGATGACGACGGCGACGAGTGGATTGATAATGAGGATGACCGATTCTATGACGTTGAATTTTGCGGCCATAGGGTTGAAAGTTCATTATGAAAATGGGTGGTTTGAAGGCACTCTTGAATACTTCAACGACGACATACATAAATATCGCGTTTCCTACCTCGACGGGAGTGAGGACTATATTGGCCTCGAAGACATTGACGGCGTAGAAGTCATATTACTGTAGTTTAACGAATTGCGTATATATTTTGAAAAGGAGGGGTTACTTTCTTGTTGTGTTATACATTGGTTCTTTTATTGGATATTAGCATTTTCCTCTTTCGTTCACCCACCAGGTTTTACATGCCATCGAATTTAACAGTTTTAATGAAAATATAAGTCGATTTTTTCAACAATTATTTAAGAATCATTTAATAATTATTTAAGGCTCAAAATGTCGATTTTCTAAGAATCACGAGGCTAAAAAAAAGTACGATTCTTATAATAATAAAAAAGGTGTGTATTCGGTATACATTATTCGCGTGTTGTAATTTTCGCGGTCGGGGACGTGTTCGCGAAATTCGCGAAAATTAAACCACCGCGAAGTATACAGCTTATATGCAGTAAATGGCTCCGAGTGAGAAGTGACGGGTAGTTTTTACGGTGCCGGAACAAGTTGCACGTTCGCGTGAATCAATGTCATCAGATGGCAGTCAGCGTGTGAACATTGGCGTGACGGGAGAGCACAGGTTGCGAAAATACCGGACCGAGTTATATAAGCGCCTTGGCGCCTATATGGCGTTGAAAGAATACTTTCTCGTAATCTGCATATACTAATGTGTATGTGTGTGTGTGTGTGTGTGTGTGCGTGTGCGTGTGCGTGTGCGTGTGCGTGTGTGTGCGTGTGCGTGTGCGTGTGCGTGTGTGCGTGCGTGCGCGCGCGTGTGTGCGTGTGTGTTCGTATGTGCGCGTGTGCGTGGTATCAAGAGCGTATAAAGAAGGCTCTTTATACGCTCCTTAATCCTTATACGCTCCTTATAAGGCTCTTTATACGCTCCTTCTTTATACGCTCTTGGTGGTATGCGTGTGCATGTGCGCGCGGGCGTTAGAGTGCGCATGCGCATGAGTGCGTTCGTGCGTGCGTGCGTGCGTGCGTGTTTACGTACGAAACGCATGGTCTATAATTACCGGTTACTCGGCACACAGCCCGCCGATCAACATCTACAGGAAATAGCTTTAATGGGCATTGCATCCGACCACTCTCCACAACGCTCCACGCATGTATTTACGCATCCAGCTCGCTCATTGATGCATGTTTCATGTGTGATACCGCGCCGGTATAATTTAGCTGCGAAAATTTACTTGACCCCGTTTTATCAGGCTCGATCGTAGCACGAAGAAAGCACATTGGCCTTCGGCTGCTTTTATTCGTTTCACAACACATCCGACAACTTTCTGCATGAGGTTACATTTGGGTCAAGCACATTCCACGTTTTCTATAGAGACGAAATATGGAATATGATTATAATATGATATATTCGTGGAATAACTTGAGAATAAATCAGTTTAACCTTGAAATTCCCAACAACATATCAACTTTGCAACTAAACCGTAAATTTATTCTGTCCGATATGTATCCGATTATTCTACCTGTAGCAATGCTACGCGGGTTTAAGTACTCCCTCTCCACTGCTATACTGCTATACTGCTACACACGTGTTGAACGCCGCGATGTGATTGCGCTGAGAATATCCACAGCTTAAATAAAACCCGCGTATATAAAACCCGCTTTATAAACCGCGTAAATAAACCGCGTATATATAAACCGCGTATATAAGCTTTTATAAAACCCGCGTAGCATTGCTACATACCTACAGTCACAAATTTGTATAGGTAGGGGTAAGTAGGAGTGAGGTATGAATTAGGATACTAACTAATATTCACTGAGCGTGAATCAGCTGCAAAACACCCATTTCTTATATTTAAAATCGTAATCGTACAACCTTTTGCATCACTGCATTTGGATTATGCGTGTACATTTATCTCTTTAGCTGCGTTATATACTTTGAACGTCCTTCACGAACGTAATAACTAGAATTAGTTATGGCATAAGTTCTGCCGCCTACTCT